TACGCCTACGAGCCTTGATATTCTTAAGACGCAACTTTTCTTGCACCCGCAAGACTCTGGTGCCGTGCATCTCGTGACCTAGATTACGCATCGCTCGCTTCGCTCGCATACGAAGAGGCACAACCAATCGAGCGAAAGTATCTCGGCCTCGGCTCGTGTTCGCAACAAAACCTGACTTGCTCGGCTGGACGACTAACCCGAGCGGTCTCACACTGAGGCAAAAACTGTGTACTGCATTGGCCAAGTCTCTTGCCTGGCCGACGCTATCTCCCTCCCTATCGCGCTCTCCTGACCAGTGGAAGCTAACATCGTCGATCAGCGCACGCGGCTTGACCGTGGGGTATATAGTCATGCAATCCTGCAAGCTTCTATGCAGCAGGACCCGCAGCATGGTAGTGGCCAAGGAGCAGCCTGCTAGGATACCCTGATTAGACTGCACTGGTACTGACAGGGAGGCAAAAGCACGCAGGCAACGAGGTTGCAGATACGTTTGAATCGTCATCCACGCTAATCTCATCGGGAAACGATTCAGCTTGGCCTCTCGAAGCAGGCTCTGCAAAATGACAGTCTCATAGCATTTCAACATATCGATAAAAACTGTGAGGCTGTCTTCTCCTAACTCGTGCGCAATCTCAGCCTCCAGATTGAGGGAAACAGCGCTGTCCGAGCTCGACCTACCAGCTCCCGTCCCCCAGAAACAATCCAGGTCGTGCTCAACCTCCCAGGCGGCCGCGATGGGCCTGCGGGCTCTGCACCAGACTCTCAGGAGCGTGTTCAAGAGCGCTATCAGCCTACATCCTCCCGACGCCTTGGGGGGGCGAACGAGCTGCGTCAGCAGTCTGTCCGAAGGCCAGATCAAGAGGCTTTCACACTTCATGAACAGCTTCGCTAAGGCCTCCAGGCCTGGGCTGCTCAGAAAGATTAAACTGCGAGGAGCAAAACTGAACTGGCCGACTCCCGTCGCCCATGGGAACTGAAGAATGGCGCGTTCCAAGTCCTGCAAGGTCAAAGGTGGGAGCTCTTCCCAGTCCTTCGCCTCTGCTGGCAACTGAGGAACTGCGGCATCGTGCATCGACCAAATTTCTTCCCATTCCCTCATGGCCTTATCGGCTAGCTGATACGGCTGGGAGGGCGTGCGAGCAGTCACATTAGCATTAACCACTTCCTGCAACGCTCTCCCTTTCGTGTGCCTATGCGCGAAACGCGCGCCATTCGAAAAACTTGCTGCCGCCCAGTCCCTCCAGGCTTTGGCGGCCTTCTGACTGTGTGCCTCCGCAAGCTCCGTTGCTTTGGCCTCGATTGCATCCAGCACTGCATCTACTTCTGTGTGAACAAGGAACTCCATTCCCATCAGAAACAAGTCAGACGCCCAGCTGTCGAGCTCGCTGAGCACGGCCGTCTCAGTTAGCACCTTCGCCAAAAAACTGCCTAGCTCAATCGTCAAACTCGACAGCTTGTGCAGGTGGGCCGTGTCTGCCTCCCCTGCCTCTTGCTGCAGACTTACCTTCGCCGTGACATTAATGATAGCCTCTTTCGCCCTACGCATGTGTCGCGCCCATCTGGCTGCTACGCACCACGCATTGGCTGCTTTTGACAAGTATGAACGCTTCTGCTGTGGTTGCCACTGCAGCTTGACAATCTCGAACTCTACTGGGCCACATGCTCCAACGAACGGCTCAGCCTTGGTGCCAACGGCGTCATGTCTGGCAAGCAGCTCTAATTCAATTTGGCTCAGCACAGCATCCCATGCCACCTGCAAACTGCTGTCGTCACACGCGGCATCTATAATACGTGCAACTCCGTGCCAACACAAAGGAAACCTCGCGCACCCTGGCTTCGGTTGCTTGGGCACGGCACGCGGCCCACGCAGCTCTCGATGAAACAACTGGATGTCCTTGCCACTGATATGCATATACACTGGCAGGTGCGGAAAAGTGGTTGCCGCCTCCTGAACACACGGCTGCTCTACTCGTGTCATCAAGTTAGACGACGTGAGGAAACAATCGATGCAACTGCCAGGCATAGCCTGTCTGCATGTGGTCGCCGCTGGAGCCCGAAGCATACCACCAAGCCCGTGTAGCCAACGCATATCGCCGAACTGGGATGCTTCGATGTTGAAATCTCCTGCCACAATCCAATCGTAGCCTGCATGATTCAATTTTTCCAAATAGCTACTGACCTCCTGCATGATGTGTAGATTATTGCCAGACCAACCTTCATTGACGTAAATATACACTGAGACCAGTACCACTCCCCCAGGGACTCCCCAATGTACTTGAGCGGGCAAAACTCGACCGCCAGCCAGTACGGTCTGTCCGTTCATGCACGGCCCGCGCGTAATCATGACGTTCGGCCTGGCCAGAACTGCTAGCCCTGCCTGCGTGCCACCGTTGACTGTGTGGTTGGCCGCCGCCCATATGCCTTGCCAGCCCGCGTCCAGCAACCGATGCTGTGCGTCTGCCAGGTCATCATGAGCAACGTGATGTTCCTGCACCGCGACCACTGTGTGACTGCAGTGCACCATGTACTCGAGCAGCTGCTTCTCGGACGAGCAATTCAGCGTCACGATGCTGCCCTTGTGGCCAGCCTGCTCCGTGGCATCGGCCCCCCTCGGGGCTGCGCTCCGTCCGTCGACGGCCCGAGTGGGCCCTGGGGCGTGAGGCGAGGCATCGACCACCCGCGCGTCCGCGGCTCGCCTAGCACGCCCCTTGCCGCTGCCTTGGGCCGCCAGGCCGCCCTCGCCATGGCCTGGCCCCACCTGGGCAGCATCACGTCTGTGCCTGGAGTCGAGCGGCTGCGGACTTGCCTGGGCTGCGGCTGCCTTCCCGCTCGGGGCGCTACGTCCGTCGACGTCTCGAGCGGGAGGCTGGGCGTGGGACGAGGCAACGACCACCCGCGCGTCCGCGGCTCGTCCTCCCCGTCCCTTGCCACGGCCCTTGGCACTGTCGCCGCCGCTCCGACCCAGGCAGTGCTCGCCGCCCACGCCAGCCTGCCGCGTGGCCAGGGCCCCACTCGGGGCTGCGCTCCGTCCGTCGACGGCCCGAGTGAGCCCAGGGGCGAGGAGCGAGGCATCGACCACCCGCGCGTCCGCGGCTCGCTTCGCTCGCCCCTTGCCACGGCCCTCGGCCGCTAGGCCTCCTGCACCACGGCTTGGCCCAACACTTGCCACATCGTGTCTGGGCCTGGAGTCGGACGACCGCGGTCTCGCCTGGGCCGCGGCTGCCTTCCCGCTCGGGGCGCTACGTCCGTCGACGTCTCGAGCAGGAGGTCGGACGTGGGACGAGGCATCGACCACCCGCGCGTCCGCGGCTCGTCCTCCGCGCCCATTGCCGCGGCCCACGGCACTGCCGCCGCCGCTCCGACCCAGGCAGTGCACTCTGGCCACCTCCACATCGGCAGCACTGCCGCCAGTCTCCTGAAAAAGAGGATTCGCTGCAAGCGACCCTGCTACCGTGCCCAGCGACGGCATCGCACTCACAGTATGAACCAGGCCCATCAAGCATATCACCAGTGCTCTAGGCAGGGACCTGGACCTTGGCACGCTTCTCAGTCCTCCATTCGTTGAGACCCTCGGCCAGCTTGCGAACGCTCCCTCGGATCGTTGCCTCGTCGGCCTCGGGCTGCACAGCAACCCCAGCGCGCCCCAGGAAAGCCCGCAGCTCCTCCAGGTCCGTGTCGTCTGGTGTTGGTACGTCGACTCCTCCAGGCTCAGGCCTGGTCTCGCCCTGAGAGGCGGCCTCCCGCTGCGGCTCAGCGTTCTCGTGCTGTGCTGCCTCGGGTGTCGACCGCCCCTGTCTCCTGCGCTCCTCCAGAACCCGTACCTCCTCCAAGGCCGAGTCCAACTTCGCTTGTAACTGACCGTCGTCTCCGAGCCCTGCAAGGATGCCTCCGAGCTTGTCGACCGTGATGCCGAGGGCGGCCACGAGCTCGCCTGCCTCGGTGGTGGACGATGGAGGCCTCGGGACCGATGACGCAAGCCTGGTTTGTTCTTCGGCAATCTGCAATATGGCCTGCTCAGCCTCGACCACCAACTGCTCCTGCTCACGGATGGTCTCCTGCAGCTTCTGCACCTCCATCTTGGCGGCCGCCAGAAGGCCCTCGTGCTTGGCCTTCTTGGTGTTCCACTTCGCCGACTGGAATGACAGCGAGCGCAGCTGCGCAGGCACTGGCTTGGACGCCTCCAAGTCCGACCGCAGCCGCTTGCGCTCCCCCTCGTAGTCCTCCCTCGCATTCTCGAAGCAGGGGTCCTTGAGGTCTTTGATCGCCCGCATGGCCTCATCGATCTCGTCCAACCGAACACGGATCTGAGCGGGGGTCTGCGGCGGCAGCACCCCGCTCTCGACGTCGACCTCCATCTCGTTGCTCTCAGACCTCTCTCCGGTGGCCAGCTGCTGCCGCGCTGCCGCCAGCTGCTTCTCCAGCTCCGCGACCTTGCGCGCATGCCATGGCGGCGGCTGCTCGGCTGTGGCCGCTCGGTCTGCCCGCTGTTGCTTCTGCGAAGGCGCCGTATGCTTGAACCGAGGCTCCAGAAAGGAAGAGGCCTTGGCAACACCACACTTCTGACAAGAAACCTTATCCGATCTGTTCCACCATGCCGCGCCCGACACTGGGTGGACACACCATCGACATACCCAATCCGTCGCCTCCGCCCGACGCCTCTGGGCATGCCTGCTCGTCTTCTGTGCCCGTCCATCTCCCTGAGACATCCGCGGCAGCAAAGAGATGTAACTAGTGCAAAGGGGAGCGTACGTTCCCGAAACAGCACGTGAACAGAGTGGTACCTCCAGCCAGGGCAGGCAGAGAGGAGGTACGAGAGCCTTCGGGGGCCGCTGCTCCCCCACGCCAAAAACTCAGTCCTGGAGCGAAACACTACGGACTTGAGCCAAAATGGCTACGGACGAGGAGGAGGAGGAGGAGGAGGAGGAGGAGGAGGAGGAGGAGGAGGAGGAGGAGGAGGAGGAGGAGGTCGAGGGGGTCGAGGATAGAGGAGGACGACGATCCTCTAGCTCGCGGCACAGGGCCCTAGCGGCCCCGCGGCCCACGTCGGCCCCGTCGCTGGTGCGCCTCGTGGGCCGGCCTGCGATGCCGGGGGCTGCCTGCGGGTGGCAGCGAGGAGCAAGGGGCGCGAAGAGGCGAGCAGCGATAGGCGAGGAGCGTTGAGCCGTGAACGAGATGCCAGGAGGATTGAGGACAGGGTCGGATGGCGGAGAGGAGCGGGGAGCGCAGTGAGCAGGGATGGGCGGCGAGGGGCGAAGGGCTGTGAGCGAGAGGGGAGGTGGGGTGAGGGCAGGGAAGGCGGGGTGGGAGGGATGGAGGAGCAGCCGGAGGGAGCGAGGAGGGAGGGAAGGCATGAGGGGCAGGAGGAACGGCGGAGCGAGGGAGGGAGGGAGGGAGGAGCGGCAGGAGAAGGGAGGGAGGGAAGGAGGGAGGGAGGAGCAAGAGGAGGAGGAGGAGGAGGAGGAGGAGGAGGAGGGGGGAGGAGGAGGAGGAGGAGGAGGAGAAGGAGGATGGAGGAGAAGGAGGAGGAGGAGGAGGAGGAGGAGGAGGAGGAGAGGAGTGGCGAGGAAGGACGTGGAGGGAGGGAGGGAGGGAGGATGAGGGAGGACGAGAAGGAGGGGGGGTCAGATCATCTGGCTCCTCCCTCTCCTCCTCATGGAGGCTCGTGCGGGCGCTTCTTCTTCGTCTACCTCGTCTTACTCCTGTCGATCCCGTCGATCTTTGCGAAACTACGTCCCTCCAGATGGACTGCCACGGTGGTGGGCGAACGAGCTAGCGACCGCAAACAGAGACAGGGAACCGAGGTCGAAAGGGAGCGGTAACCGCAGCCTCAGGACGGTCTGGGCGAAGGGGGCAGGAGGAAGCTCCTCCCGAGTCTGATTCTTCTCCATCCCCCTCCTCCTCCCCCTCCTCCTCATCCTTTTCGTCCCCTTTCTCTCCTCCTCTTCCTCCTCCTCCTCCTCCCCCTTCTCCTGCCCTGATCCGTAAGGAACGAAAAGACGACATAAACAGAATCAGCTCATGGATTTTTTGGACTGTGCGCTGGCCCCTTCACGCGGCAGCGCGCGTGCGCGTCAACTGCAGTAGGCGCGGAAAGGGAGAGAAGGAGCAGGAGGAGGAGGAGCAGCAGGAGGAGGAAGAGGATGAGGAGGAGGATTCCTCATCCACCTCCTCCTCCTCCTCCTCTTCCTCCTCCTCCTCCTCCTCCTCCTTCTCCCTCTCTCTCCGTACCGCCTCAACGCCGCCAGAAAGTTCGTCTACAGACCGATGCCACCATCACTGCAAACACAAACAACTGCATACGCATACACTGTTGGAAGTCTGCGCGGATTTCTTGGGTCGGCGCTGTATCCCCTCCCCTGTCGCGTGGAGCGCGCAGGGTGCGGCGCCAGATGCGCCGCAAAGGGGTCTGGCGCCAACCTAATAGGTCAATGCGGTCTCTCCTATTGTTCCTCGGAGCCCTTGCCTCTTCTTCTTCCTCGTCGCACTTTTCATCCTCTTCCTTCTTCTCCTCCTCCTCCTTCTTTTGTCGCTGTCGTTGCAAGCACTTGAATCCCTAGGGATGCTCCCCGTCCTCCTCGTCCTCCTCCTCCTCCTCCTCCTCGTCCTCCGCCTCCTCCGCCTCCTCCGCCTCCTCCTCCTCCTCCTCCTCCTCGTCCTCCTCCACGTCCTCCTCCTCCTCCTACTCCTCCTCATCGCGGGCATTAGCAGGAGACCTCCTTCTCCTCCTCCTCCTCCTCCTCCTCCTCCACCCTTCCTTCCTCCTCCTTCTTCTCCTTTTTTCCTCCTCCTCCTCCTCCTTTTTCCCTCCTCCTCCTCCTTTTTCCCTCCTCCTCCTCCTCCTCCTTCTCCTCCCCCTCTCCTCTTCCTCTTCTTCCTCCTCTTGGAAGCCCAGGAGGGCGCGGTCCTCTGGCGCCGGCGTGGCAAGGCCGCTCTCTGCCACGGTGGCAGTGCAGAGCTTCACCACCTCGGGCAGCTCGGGGGGGGGGGCGCTCAGGAGACCGCTCGGGGGGGGGGCTCTTTCTTCTTCCGCTCACCATCGCCAAAGACTGCCGTCCTCCTCCTCCTCCTCCTCCTCGTCCTCTCCTCCTCCTCCTCCTCCTCCTCCTCCTCCTCCTCCTCCCCCTCTTCCTCCTCCTCCTCCTCCTCCTCCTCCTCCTCCTCCTCCGACGTCGGTCCTCCTCCGACGTCGGCCACTCGCACTCGGTCGGCGGCGGAGCGGCGGCATCCTGGCGAAAGCGCGGAGAGCGCGCGGCCCCGCGGAGGCTCTGCGCGGCGGCGCGGCGGGCGCGCGGGACGGGCCGCGCCGCCCAGGGGGGCGCGGCCCCAGAGGAGCCGCGCCGCCGCCGCGGCCCAAGCGGAGCGCGCGCGCTGGGCGCTCGCGAGCGGAGGCCTCGCGGCGGCGCGGGAAGGCGCTCGGCCCCGCGTGAGGGCCGCGCCGCCGTGGTTTTTCCCCCGCCCGCCCAGGCGGCTCGGCCGGCGGCGGCGTGCTGGCTCGCTGGGCCATCGCGACCCAGCCGCGACGGCGCGACTGCGCCGGCTGGGCGCCGCGACCCACGCGGTGTGGGCGCAACCGGCCGAGCGGGCTGGCGGCCAGGCAGCGCGAGGAGCGTTCGTGATGGGACGCCCCCGCCCGAAGGGACGAAGAGATAGGTCCCGATGTGCGTAGGCGGCAGTCAGTCTGGGCCCGCCTGCTCTCGCACCTCGCGAGCTCACCCCACTCAGGCATGAACAGAATAATAATAATAATAATAATAATAATAATGATAATAATAAGAAGACGAATAAGAGAATAATAATTATAATAAGAAGAAGAAGAATAAGAAGAAAGGCAGAACCATAAACTTGTGGCGCTCCGCACGGACTTCTTGGATCTGCGCTGGACGCCTCTCCCTGGCGCGCTCCGCGCGCTAGGGGCGGCGCCGGAGGCGCCGCCAGAGGGCCCCAGCGCGGATCCGAGAAATCCGCGCGGAGCGCCCAAAGTTTACGTTTACGCTCTTTTCTTCTTCGAATGAAAGCGGGCGACCTGACTGAGCAGCTAAGGCGGCGGGGGCAGAACTGGCAGCGGGGCCATAGGGATGCACCGACGCACGCTCGCATGTGCTCACGCTCGCTGCAAGGCGGCCTGCCAGTGACGAATCTTGCAGGCACGCGTCTGATCAGAGTCAGCCTCTTATCAGCTTGACTCTCCAACCACTCGCTGGCGTTCCTCCCTCACGGTGCGCTCGCCGCCCAAGGGCGTCATCCCTCATGCTGATGAGATTTCGTGCTCGCGTCCGTGGGGAAACCAACAAAAAGTAACGATACCGCCAGACCTCTCCCGGGGTGCTATCCTTAGGTCGGGCCTGTCCCCCTACAGGGGGAGTTTGCACGAAAAATGAAAGCATACCTTAAAACATATACAACAATGATCCAAAAATGGTCCCCAGACTATTTTTTGACTATTTTTGAATATGCCCCCTGTGGAGTGACAGGCCCGACTTAAAATGCTATCCGACCAGAATCTCGAGGCGAATCTCCGGCGGTGGCCTCTCCCAGGAGGGCGCCCCAAGAAGGGGACCACGGGGGACAACAGGCAGCGGCAGGGGTACCCTTTCCTCCTGCGAATCCGGGGGATCAGGTGCGCGGCGTGTCACCTCGGGGGCCCCCCGCGGCTCTCCTCGGTGGCCATGACCAGAAATCCTCGCGGGTCTCTGGCCCCCCGCGGCTTCTTGCCGCGCTCCCGCCGCCCCGCCGCGACGATCTCCCCTGACCAGCTCCCCCGAGGCCTGGTGGACGTGCGCCGTGCAGGCTCTCTTTGACGGGGGGATCGGCTGCAGGAGTGACCTACCCCAGAGTTGGTTTGTGCGTCGAATTTGGACGAACAAATACGCAGAATCCTCGTAGCTCCACGAAGCACTCGACGCAGGTACTTCTCGCAAGCTCGACCAACAAAACAGATCTGGGGTACATCCATTCTGCAGTCGATCGCCTAATTACGGCAGATTCTTGTCGCGCCGACTTCGGCGCTGGTTCCTGACACCGCCGGGATCGTTCAACCCTGAACGACCGCGCGTCTCCGAAACGTCAGATCGTTCAATATCGACCCGGACTGGGTCACGGGCAGCGTTCAGCGTTGAACGCTGGCAGCGGGGTCGCCGCCGGTCGACACGACGCGAACCTGCCGCGCTCGATCTCTTGAGCTCTTCAGCGTCAGCTTGTCAAGTGCAGCGCCCTGCTCTCCCCTCCTCCCGCGGCGGGCCGTGTCCCAGTGGGAGCTCCTGCGACGGCAAGGTCCCTCTGGCATCTGGCGCCGCGCCGCCGCGGAGCCTCGGGCATCCTCAGCCCCCACCCGGGCCAGCGGCGGGCCCAGCGGGTGGACCAGGCGGAGCTGCCCCGGCAGCGCGCAGACCGGCTCTTCCTTGGCACGCAGCATCCCGAGGCTGCTCGCCCATAGGGGCCGCAGATCCGCCAGCGGAGCCGCCGCGCAGAGGAGCGGAGCTCCACCGGCGCCGGCAGCCCTCGCGGCGCCGCGGCTGCCCCGCGCCTCCGCCCGCGCCCGAAAACGCGCGGCGCACTCTCTGCCTCCCTCGGAGGGGGGCCCGGGGGCACGCACAGACACGTGTGCACGCCCCCGAGGATTTCTCGTCTGTTTCTGCATCTCTTCTGGATCTTCGTCTCCCCGTCCACCCTTCCCATGTCTTCCCGCACTCTCCTGGGAACCGGCGCTCGTTCGTGTTCGCCCCCATTGTTCCCTCCTGGGTGGTGCGCTCTCGGCTTCCTCCTGCGCCTCTCTCCCCAGCTGAGGCGCCGGCCTCATGTTGGAAATGAGCTGCCCTCCCTTCTTGTAGCTCTTGGAAGCTAGTAATTACGGCGAGTGTGCGCAGCACTACGGCGGGAACCACACCTTAAGAAAGGTTCGCCTTCCATCCCAACCCCCCGACGCCATGAGTTATCCGCAACGTGGACCCTCGGAGGTGTCGACCCATTCCCCGGGGCTGGCTTTTCGTCCCAGATCGTTTCTTGACGGTCTCGGGGTCCAGCAAGGGCTCCCAGGGCCGAACACAGCCAAAAACCTCCCATCGTGATTTCTTCGGGGATGGACAGACCCCCCTTTAGTAAAACGTGGTTTGGTGAAAACGACCTGAGGCCCACACCTGGCGGGCGCAAGTATGGAAAACAACGGCCGGGGCGCCCTCTCGAGAACCAAAAACGGACCATTCGCTAATCGACGTGTCACTGTTGGGGGTTCTGTCCACCCCCGATCCTCCTCCTCCTCCTCCTCAATTTCTTCACTACGCGAGGGGGTCACAATTGGAAGCTGCGCCCGCCGGCGCCGGGGCCCTCGCAGCTCGCCCTCGGCCCTCGGCCTGCCAAGTGGCGCCCGCGCCCGCGCGTGTCGCCTCGGCCGCCCCGCCGCTCGCAGCACCGGCCAGAGGGCACGCGCTGGCCATCGCTCGGACGTCCACTTCCTGTGCTTTCTTCGGTCTCGTGCGTGGCTTTTTCGCCAAATGATCGAGGATGCTCCTCGATGGCCCTCGCCGAGGGAGACATGCACACGTCCGAGCGATGCCAAGTGCACACGCTCGGCGAGGATAGGCGCTCGACGCAGGCGGCTTTCGCAGCGGCGAGGGCGGGGAGCATCGAGGCTCTGGGCCGCTCTGGGGCCCGACCGCTGGCCGGGACATCCGGCGGCTGCGCTAAGAACTCTCGCCATAAGACATCACCTGCCCCACTGCTCGTCGAGACTTGAGCTGCCTGAGGTGCTCCAGGGCTTCTGGTGGCCCACAAGGCGCGGCCAATGGGGGATGAGAGACTTCCGTCTCCCCCCAGGACGCCTGCTGCGTCATTTCAAGGTGGAGCTCGGTCGAACTCTTCGCCAACGCCCAAATTCAGCTCGCCCTCAAACCAAAATGCTTCTCCTCCTTCTCCTTCTCCTCCTCCTCGTCCTCCTCCTCCTCCTCCTCCTCCTCTTCCTCCCACCTCGCGCAATGTTCCGGTCTCTGGGTCGCCCGATTTCGTGCATCGCGCCCCGCGATGCGTGGCTATCCTCGCACCCGCACGAGGCCACCCTGGAGGAGGATGGCTCTCTGAGCCGGAGCCGCGACGCGCGAAGCGCGATTGTCCTGGCGCCCCCTGGCAAGATCAGTCAACATCGAAACGCTGAATCGGATCGGATCGGAACATGCATCGGGTCGGGCCGCATCGGCACGGAATCGATGAAGGGGCCCTGGGACACACACATAAATACACACAAATAGACATGTTCCCCATGTTTTCCTATATTTTCTGGGTTTTTGTCCCTCCCCCCCACTTCCCATATGTTCCCATATTTTCTGGGGAATCGAAGATTCACTGTGTCTGTGTGTTTTTCCCCCTCCGTAATCGAGACCGGAGCGAGACGGCCGCCGCGCGGACGCACGAGTGCGCCGGACGCCGACGTCGAACCGGACCGAGCCGGGTGGGCCCGACGCCGGCTCGCATCGATCGGGTCGAGCGAGGGCCCCCCCCCGGCTTTCCAGAGAGCTTTTTTTTTGTCTAGCCCTGGAGACGAGGAGGAGGACGAGGAGGGGGAGGAGGAGGAGGAGGAGGAGGAGGAGGGGGGAGGAGGAGGAGGAGGAGGAGGAGGAGAGAGGAGAGGAGGTAGGAGGAGGGGAGGAGGACAGGAGAAGGAGGAGGAGGGTGAGGGGGAGGAGGGGGGGAGGAGGGGAGGAGGAGTGGGGAGGAGGGGGGGAGGAGGAGGACCTGTAAGAACTGAGCAAAGACAGAACATCCTATAGCCAGGACTCAGGATAGCTTCGGGATCGGTTTTTAGGTTCGGTGCTATTTCTTAGCCCTCCTGGAAGGTCAGGGCCCCTGCCAGTCCCCCGACGCCATGCTGTGTCCACGGCGTCGGCCCCCGAAGGCCTCGGCCAGTTCCTCCAGGAAAGGTGGCTCCTGCTGCTCCTCCTCCTCCTCCTCCTCCTCCTCCTCCTCCTGCTACTCCTGCTCCTCCTCCTCCTCCTCCTCCTCCTCTTGCTCCTCCTCCTCCTCCTCCTCCGCCTCCTCCTCCTCCCTCCTCCTCCTCCTCCTCCTCCTCCTCCTCCTCCTCCTCCTCCTCCTCCTCCTGCTCCTGCTCCTGCTCCTGCTCCTGCTCCTGCTCCCCTCTCCCTCCCCACCCTCTGTGGGGCGACCCCGGGGCCCGGCCAGGGGCCCCCACGGGGGCCGAAGACGGGCCTCAGAGCCCTCCCCCCGCCGCGCTTCCCCCTCGCGGCGCGAGGGGGTCCGGGTGGTGGCGCTGCGCTTCGGGCCGCAGGCCGCCGGCTCCATGGCCCCGTCGCTGCCCACGAGCTCCCGCAGGGGCGTGTCGGCGAGCCGCTCGCGCGCGCCGCCGTCGAGCGCCCCGCTCTGCAGCACGCGGAAGGCGCTCCTCTGCGAGTGCAGCGCCCTCAGCAGCGCCAGCGCCTCCCGCGCCCTCTCCTGGGGCAGGGCCGGCGGCTCGGAGGGCCAGGCCGGGCCGCGGCGGCCCTCCCCGCCGGTGTGTGTGTGTGTGTGTGTGTGTGTGTCGTCCTCTCGAGAGGCCTCCAGCAGGCTTCTCGTCGCCAGGGCCGGATCCGCGTTGAAGCACTGGTCAGGGGGGGGCGCCAGGAGGGGCCCGGGACTGCTTTCGAGCCTCGTCCCCCGCGCCCCCTCCCGGGGCGGGGCCGAAGACGGAGCCAGGGCTGGGACGAGATCGGGCCGGGACACGTCGGGGATCTCTCAGGCTGGGCGGCTCTGGAGGACGTGCGGTAGAGGGAGCAACTAGTGGACACTCCCCCGCCCCCCAAAACTCGAAGCTGGCACGCGCGGGGAAGACCGGTCGAAGTGCCGCTCATCGAACCCACCGCCAACATTGATCATTGGGGGGGGGCCATTGACAGCTGAACGTGGCAGGAATGCTCGCTGACTTCTTCCGAGACCTGCATCGGGCGCCGCGGCCGTTCCAGAACGCTGGGTTGCCAGACAGCCCCCCCAAGGAAGCCCCGGCTGGCCTCGCCTTATGTTGTTCCCATCGTGCGTAAGGACCACATCCCAGAATTCATTTCGAGCACCCGGAAAAGTGTCGAAAGAGTGTCGAAGCAGTGTCGGAACAGTGTCGGACGAGTGTCTCCCAGGGCCCGACGCGTGAAAACCCTGGAGTTTCGGCTCTCTTGCTGGTGCTCGGATTTCTTCCTGGCGGTCAAGGCTCAGGTAGGTTGGAACATCATAATTACGGCAGGTTCGTGTCGTGCCGACCCCAGCGTTGGTTTTTGACACCGCAGGGATCGTTCAACCTTGAACGATCGGCCGCTGCCGCAACGTCCGATCGTTCAACATCGATCGATTCTGGGTCGCCGGCGGCGTTCAACCTTGAACGTCCGCGCTGGGGTCGCCGCTGGTCGACACGACGCAAACCTACCGTAAGCCTCGCCCCCTGAGCAGTCGACGGCGGTCTCAACACCCTGGCGCCGCCTTCAGCGGCGCCCCTGGGGCGCTCCGCGCCCCAGGGTGGAGGTGCTGAGACCGCCCTGGACTGTTTAGAGGCCTCTTGATCGGCGGCGAGCGGGGGGGGGGAAACGAGAAGGAGACGGCCTTTTTTTTTCTCTGTTTTTTAGAAGGAGAGAGAGGAGGCCTTCTCAGAGGGTTCGGAAGTCACCCGGCCCTCGGAGCAGTTTTCTAGCCGAGCCGTCGCAGAAGGCCCTGAGCAATTCTCAGAAGGAAGGCAGCGAGGGCTGCTGAGAAGTCCCGCCGCTTTCTGAGAAGGCCTTCTCCTCCTCCCTTCCCCCCCTCGCTCGCCGCCGAGTGGAGGCCAGCCAGCACTGCCTGCGGAGGCTGCCTGTGCGCAGCCCGAGGCCTCACCCGGGGCAGGCTCGGCCCGCGTCGCACCGGGAGAGCGGGGGCCGGATCGGGGCGTGCGCGTCGGATCGGGCTGCAGCGGCACGGAGGCGGCCTCGGATCGGCTCGGCCGCGCCGGTGTGCACGGCGGCGCCGTGCGGACGTCGGGCCGCACCGCATCGTCGGAAGGTCGAGGTCGAATCGGGTCGGGCTGGCCGAGAGCGGCGTCGAGCCAAAGCGATCGGCTCGGCATGGGCCCCTGGAGGGCGGCAGCGGCGCTCCGGCGCCGAGGCCTGGCCGGGGCCCCGTCCTGGGCACAAGATGGGACTGGCCAGGGTCCGTGCAGGTGTGCTTTTTTTTCGAGCGATTGCAAAAGAAACCAAAAAAACCTAGGATTGCAAAACAAACCCTTTTTGCAATCCAGGTTTTTTTTTTTTTTTTTTTTTTTTTTTGCAATCCAGGGTTTTTTTTTGCAATCCTTTTTGTTGCAATCCTTTTTTTGCAATCCTTCGTGTCACGCTCCGGAAACCGGCGACGACGATGGCGATGGCGATGGCGATGGCGATGACGACGACGACGACGATGACGACGACGACGAAGACGATGAATCGTCGTCGTCGTCGTCGTCGTCGTCGTCGTCGTCGTCGTCGTCGTCGTCGTCGTCGTCGTCGTCGTCATCGTCCAAAAATGTTGACGCCTCGCCTTTACTTCGGCCGCCTTCCGCTGGCTGCCGCCGTCGGGCCCGCTGCCGCCTTGCTTCCGCCGCGGGCGAGAGGAGCCGAAGGCGGGGCCCTTTCTGGAACGCCTCAGTGTAGGGACGCCAGAAGACACCACCAAACCACGACCCCCCCGGACCTCTCGCCGGGCGCGCTCGGACCAGAACCTGCGAGGCGCATATCCGGCCGTGGCGACGCAGAAGGCCTCCCGGGAGGCCCCCGGAGGCGACACCGAGCCGCGGGGCGCGGCGCCGAGGCCTGCCCCGCAGCTGACCGTTGGCGCCCCCCGATCTCCGCCACGGCCAGCACCTCCTCCAGGGCGCCCCGCGCCCGCGCCACGGCCTCTTGGCGGCGCGCGCAAGTGAAGGGGCCCCAGGACACACAAATAAATACACACAAATAAAATGATTCCCCATATTTTCCCATCTTTTCGGGTTTTTTGTCTTCCCCCCCACTTCCCATATTTTCCTATATTTTCCTGGGGATCGACGATTAATTGTGTCTGTGTGTTTTTTCCCCTCCTGAACAAGGGGGTGGCGGGACGGGGGGAGGGCTCCTTGGAAGGAGGCTGCTCCTTAGAGGGCGCCGGCCTTGCATCTGCAGAGAAGGCCCGCGCCTGCAGAGAAGCAGGGGCTGCTTCTACTGGCCATCGCTCGGACGTCCATTCCCCGTGTTTTTTTCGGTTTCGTGCGTGGCTTCTTCGCCAAATGATCCAGGATGCTCCTCGAGTGTCCTCGCCGAAGGAACAACAATGCAAACGTCCGAGCGATGCCAAAGTCTAAGAAGCCCTCCCCCCTCCCCCCACACCCCCTGCTGCGCGCGGCCGAGCCTCGTCGTCGCCCGTGCGCTCGAAGCAGTAGGCCCGGGCGCGCTGGGCGCCCGAGGGCGGCGGCTGCCTCGCCGCCGCGGCCGCGCCGCCGCCCTCGCGCGCCAGGCCCTGCCTGGCGAAGAGCAGCACCGGGTGCAGCTGCCTCTCGGGAAGGGGCCCAGGGGACACACAAACAAAGACACACACACAAATCCCCGGATCCCCCATGCTTTAAATATGTTCTGGATCTTCGTCTCCCCCCCCACTTCCCGTAGCTTCCTGGGGGTCGACGATGATCGATTGTGCCTGTGTGTGTTTTTTTTTTCTCCTGGTTGTGGGAGCGTGGAAGGGGCGCGGGACAAAGGGGCACGATCCCGACGCCCAGCAACAGACTCGGGTGCTGCCAGAAGTGCCCCTGGCCCGAGAAGGTGCCCCCAGGATTTCCAAGGAGGCCCCCGCGGCCTCCGGGGCACCCCTCACGAGGCCCGGGAGGGCCCAAGGGGCTCCGAAATGGAGGGAAAAGCTAGGGGTACCTTTAGCAGCCCCCGACAGATGTTGTCCAAAACAGACAGTGGCTGCTGTTGGGCAGGCCGCCTTCCGCCTCCAATGGGCCGCGTCCTAGGCGACGCCGATGGCGAACCCTGTACAGGAGCTGCTCTCGGTCTCTGTGCCTATTCTTCCCGTACCCACTCCGTTCGCCCCGATGCCTGAGGACGCCATAGATGACCTCTTCGCTCAGCGCGATGCGCAACTCCTCCCCCTGGCTGCTGCCTACTCTGCCCCGCACCGGCACGACCAGAGGCGCGCCCCACAGCGGCTGCAGCGTTGCACCGAGGAACCGGAGCAGCCCGTGGAGCCAGCGGCCCAAGGCGGGCTTCGGCAGGGCCGCGTGCTCCCCGAGAGTGGGTGCACGCACGTCGTCGAAGCTCCAGGCCCAGCTGCTGCCACCGGCCGCGTCTCCGGGCCCGGGCGACGGCGCCGAGGGCAACGTCGGCAGCCGTGCCAGGTGCGCGCAGCACTCCGCGGCGGTGGCGGGAGGGCGTCCCGGCGCGAGGGCCTTGGGGGACACGCGGAGCACCTGCACGCCGTTCTGCATCAGCAGCGCGAAGGACCTGGAGCGCGCTCCTGGCGCGCCCCCGGGATCGACGGGAGGCAGCGCCGGAAGGGGTGTGCGGAGGAGGCCGGCGCTGCTCCCTTCTTCTGCGATGTCCAAAACCTGAGCGACGATCCAAAACGGGTCTTGCGCGAGACGACGCAGCGACCTCACGCCGCAGCCCACGCGGGGCTGCCAGCGCGGCACGCCACGCTGGAGACGAGGGCGCTCATACGCACGACCTCACGCGGGCAGCCTTCGCGCCAATGTCGGCGCACACGACCCCGTTTTTCTTGACTCGCTCACCTGGGCGTCCAGCGTCATGGTGGTCTGCAGCGTGCGTGCGCCCGCCGCGCCCCCGCACTCCTTGAAGGGGCCCTGGGACACACAAATAAATACACACAAATAAACATACCCCCCATATCTTGCCCTATTGCTGGGGGCTCTCGTCTTCCCCCCTATATTTCTGCCATATCTTCCAATCTTTCCTGGGGAATCGACGATTCATTGTGTCTGTGTGTGGTTTTCCCCCCCGCACTCCTCTAGGCGCGCGGTGACCCCCACCTCCGACGCAGCGCCCCCCGGCCGCTGCGCCCCCGCGACCCACACGCCGGCCGAGTACAGGCACGGCTCGAACGCCTCCTCCAGGCAAGAGGACCTCCGCTCGACTGGGGCGAAGGGGCCAAAGGACACACATATAAATACACACAGATAACAGGATCCCCAATATTTTCCTAATTTTCTATTTTCTGGGGAATCGCCGATTAATCGTGTCTGTGTGTTTCTTTCCCTCCTGATAGGGCTGGGGGTCAGGTCTGCAGGACACCCTAAACGTACGACAGGGGGCGCAACCAACCTGTTCGGTCAAGCCGGAACTGATGCACCACACTGGGCGTCGAGCCACAGCTTCGGGCGTGTTGCGGAGCGACTGGTGGGGTGTTGCACACCTTCATCGGCTCCACCAGCGAGGCGTTTGACCATCTTGACGCCTCTTTTTTGGGTGGTCCTGCATAGGAAGGCGCTCTCTGACCCTTGGCCCTGCTCAAAGCTCCGCTGCCCCGATACCTCCTCCTTCTCCTCATCCTCCCCGGCCTCCTCCTCCTCCCCCCTCCTCCTCCTCCTCCTCCTCCTCCTCCTCCTCCTCCTCCTCCCGTCCTCCTCTTCCTCCTCCTCCCCATTCTCTCGCGACGCCCCGCGTCCTCCTCCTCCTCCTCCTCCTCCTCCTCCTCCTTCTCCTCCTCCTCCTCCTCCTCCTCCTCCTCCTCCTCCTCCTCCTCCTCAACGCGCAACACGTACCGTGTTGACACGGAGAGCAGCACGTCGACTGAACACGCACATCTGGCGCGGCACGTTCGCCGAAGCGTGGACCCCAACACATGCCGAGCCAACGCGCAGCGTGTTAACGCACGTACGTCTTGAACACGGTACGTGCTCCGTTTCAGCACGTGCGTACCAGGGTCCTTCTCCTCCTCCTCCTCCTCCTCCTCCTCCTCCTCCTACCTCCTCCTCCTCCTCCTCCTCCTCCTCCCTCCTCCTCCTCCTCTCCTCTCCTCCTCTCCTCCTCCTCCCCTCCCTCCTCCTCCTCCTCCTCCTCCTCCTCCTCCTCCTCCTCCTCCTCCTCCTCCTCCTCCTCCTCTCATTTCTCATTTCTCGCTATGCAGCGTCTTGTCGCGCGCCCCGCGGGCGCGGAGCGCGCCGCAGCGGCCCTCAGGGCCGTGCGGGCACTCGGACAGCGGCCCCGGGAACCCGACCCCGAGGAAAGCAGAGGGAACCAGGGACCAAGTTAAACCTCAGAGGAGGGAGAAGGGGGGCCGGGTTTCAGCAAAAAGAAAAAAGGGGGCCCGTCAGGGCCCACGGGCGGGCGCCGCGCGCGCCCGCGCCAGCGGGCGTCAGCCAGCGCGGCGCACGGCCAGGCCGTCGGCCTCTTTGTGGGCTGGCGGCCGCGTGGGTGGCGGCTGGGCTCCCTTCGGCGCCTCGCGCTGAGCCCAGCCGCCGTGGGGTCTTCGGGTGGCTGGCTGCCCCCAGCTGCGGCGGCCTCCACCCTTCGGCGCAGCGCGCTGTGGAGGCCCGCCGAGCCGCTCTTGGGCTCCAGCAGGTCTGCAGCGGCTGCTCTCGTCATCATGCCGATCAAGGCCGGCTGGCCTCGGCCCCTCGCATGCCACGCGAGGGCGACGGGGATACACCCTTCGGCGCCTGGCGCTGTGTATCCCTCGCCGAGGGGCAGGCCGCCCCTTCTCGTCGAGTACTCCATGTTGAACCTGCAGTGCTGCCTGACACTGTGGTGCTCGAACACGTATCCCTCGTCCTAGCCGTGCTGGACGGGTTGGTACTCCTGCTTGATCCTGTCCAGTCTTGGTCGTACTGGTACTCACTAGCCGTAGTATCCGATGTCGTCAGTCATGCCACCCCCGCCTCTGCAGTACAGGAGGGTGCTGATCTCGGAGGTTGTAGATGGCGGTCGTTTGTAGGGCTGAGTGCAGGGTGTGGAGCGTGCTGGTCAGGTCGTTGGGGGTCGGATCATTGCTGGTGTTGCGTTGGTTGTGGGCTTCCAAGGCCTCCATGCACCGACTTCAAGTGGGGGTCTTGGCTGTCCCACCTCGTCCCGCTATGGCTAGGGGTCACAGTGCCCTCGGTGGGGGCGAACCCCAGGCCTGGTACTTATTATCGTCGGAGTGGGATGTCTCGGCTGTCCTGTGCTTCGCCCTCGGGCGCTCGGGTAGCTCCTCCTTCTCCATGGGAATGGTGGGGGTGGCGAGCTAGGGCGGACCGCGGGGGCGCAGGTAGTGGCCGTCCTACCCCCCCCCTGCCCCTCACCATCCCCGCTGGTGGGCGCGGGAAGTACTCGTCCTTCCCCCCCGCCCTTCGAGCCCGTCTCGAAGTTTGATCCTCACCAGGACAGCGTTGACTTGACAGGAGGTGTGCGGGGTCGTGCTGGGTATGCTGTCGATGTCGGTCAGTAGTACGCCGGCGGCGTATGGACCGCCCGCTGCCAGCCAGCTGGCGCCCTCCAAGTTGTAGGTAGCCAGTCGCCGCCAGGGTACTCACAACAAAACGTGGCGACTTGTGCCTGGGGTGTTCCCTCGCATTCGGGGCTTCCCCAGGACTTGCGTTCTAACCAGGGCAAAACTTGGCGACGCTGCCTGAGGTCTTCCCTCGCATTCGGGGCTTCCTCAGGACTTAAACCATGGCACCGTAGTGCCTTGTCCAGGGCGCTGGATAATCATAGAAGTAAATGCCAGTGTTGAAAGAAAGCCAATAAATCCAGAAAGTGCTCGAGGGGGGGGCACGCTCCGTCGCCATTGAGGGATCGTGCCCACCCGTATGGGCGCTACGGGTCCCCCCCCCTCGAGTATGGCACGCAATCGCTGTCCAAGACGCAGCCGTGCCAATAACCCAGTAGCAATGCGGGTCTTGAGTACATACAGTAGGTGCGCTGATGCTGACGCGCCTGCTGCCACTCTGAAATATTACCCGACTGTACACCATTCTGTAATACCAACTGCCCTCCAATCTGTAAGATGCCAATAGTCTGCGCCAAACTGCAAACCGATGGTCCCTTCCAGGGACTGGCAAGTATGAATAATCCTGAAACAATTAAACTCGAATATCTGTGCAGGCAAACGTAGTGCCGCTGCAGTGTCAGCTGCTAGCGCCGTTGGTTACCCCATGCCCTGTGACAGTCGTGGCCCAGCTGCTCTGGCTCGATGTAGTAGTCCAAGGGGGCGTAGAACCTGTGATAGCATTCATCCGTTTCGGCCCACATTGCCTCTTCGTCAGCAAGCTGTCCCCAGTGGGCTGCGAATGCAGTAGCCATTGCCTTGCACAGCCTTGAAGGATATTCTTTGAGGGGGGCGGTCCTCCAGCCGCCTTGGCCGTCTCGTCCGTAAGCTCTGTCATGTCCGTTATGTCGGCATAGCTGTCCCCCAGGTACCGCCCCCAGCTCCTGTGTAAGTTCACTGAGGTGTACCGCCATCAGGCATGTTGGCTTTCGCGCGGCCTGCCCAAACTGGCACTGGTCTATGTAGTGCAGTTCGACGCTCGTCTGCTCCAAAAGCCAGAGCGTCTCTGCTCGCTGCCAGCTGCTAGGCGCTTGAGGGCACCAGGTGGCTGGAGCGGGATGCTCGAGTACGGCAGATACGTTGTGCTGCAAGCCAGTGGTGATGAGTAGTAGAGCTGTCCTGTATAGCTCGTTGGCTAGTGCTATCTGTTGACGCTCCGCTTGATTGGCTGCTTGTATGCCCCAGGGGAAGTCGTGTGTACGTAGTGGCCGTGGAGCTTTCCCTTCGGCGGCATGCCAGCGCGATGAGCACCGCGTCTCGCAGGGGGGGCCCGCAACAATGCCAAATATTTTGCCCTGTCGTATCGCCGCGCACCAAAACTCGACGACGTCTGGCTTCGTCAGATCTCCTTTGTCGGGGTCTATCTGCACGTCGATCGATAATACTACCAAATTGCATTCCCGAATGTTCATCTCGAAGTGGTGCTGGAAATCCTCGGTTCGGCGTCTGCCTGAGAAAAGGTGCAGCAATAACATAGCCGTAGTAACCATCGGCTTGCACGGTGCGAATGCGCTTGCAGGTGGCGTCGCTGGTTGAGGGTCCGCTGCTGCAGGCGGCGCCGGCGAGAGCTGGAGCTGATGCTGCTCGATGTAGTCGGCAAGCTTGATGTGTATGACCTGTTGGGCGGGCACCAGCGCCTTTGTAGCTCCATGCCCCATTGCCTTCCTCGTCGCCACAGCCTCTCGTTCCTCTTCTCGGCGTTCGGCTGCCTCCTGCAAATCCATTGGGACTTCAATTGCTTGGAGTACAGCCAGGCACCTGGGGCACCTTCTCAGGTGCTTGAGTATGCGCGATCGCGTTATGAAGTTCTTCCCACACCCAGGGCAGGTTGTCGAACGGGCAAGCAATTCGGGGAGGTCGTAGCCGATGTGCTCCATGGTGCGATGGCGCTTCCATGCTCCCCGAGTTTTTAGGATCTTGCCACGCTCATAGCATATGTAGCCACTGTGTTGTGCAGGCGGCAGTCCATCGAAGTTGGGCGTGGTCAGTCCAAACTCTTGCGCTAGACGGTGTAACTGCCTTTGCCATATTCGATGTCGGTATAAGTCGTGCTGCCATGCCTTGTACCTGAGCCACGCACGCGTGATCATGGCTTGTGCGGCTTGCACTTGCTGTGTTCGTAACCATCGTACCAAGCCCCTGATGTCGCAGCCAATGTCTTCGTCGTCTAGTAGGAATCTTCTTATCCAGTCCAGATCCTCGACGATGAGGGCATTCCAGGCTTTATCATCCCCCCAAAGCTCGTCGATGAGGCGGTGGAGGAAGGGCGTGTCTGCATGCGCCATTCTGGCCAAGTGCATCAGGCGCCGTCGGCGCAGGTACATGTGGATCGGTACTTCATCACATATCAAGTATATTTCGTCGTCCAAAGTATGTACGTGCCCCGCACCATGTCGCTGTTGCCGTGCGGCGGCCCGTAGGCTCGCCATGTGTCTGCTCTGCAACATCTGTTTCTGCTGTGCTGTCAGCGGCCCCCATACTTCGCAGTCGTAGGTCAGCTTGCTCTGCGCCAGTGCCGTGAGATACAGCAACTTGGCTTTGAGGTCGATGTGCGGCAGACGGAAGATGGACTTCTTCAAGGGGCCCTCTGCGGATCTGTGGTCGATGATGCGTCTCATAAGGTTCGGCCCCTCCCCGCCATCACTTGCCACAATATTGCCCAATGTGAGTCCCTGGGTCGTGACCTCAGCCGTGGTGACATCAGTGCTGGTCGGCGGCTGGCATTCCTCGCGTTGCAGCGTGATGGGGTTTGTCTTGAAAATCTTCGCCTTGATATGCTGTTTGGCGTGCCCATCAATATGCAGCAACGCTTTGGTCTTCTTGGGGTGTAGGTCATGCCCAAAGATCTTGAGTCTCCTCGCAATGATGGACAATATGTCAAAGATGCTGCTCTCGATTTTCGTGTTGTCCCTGAGTACGCACAGGAATGTCGCGTCGTCCATGAAGGATACTTCTGGCAGGGTCCCCTCAAGCCCTCGGAGCTGGCCTGACGTGGCAATGGCTTGCTCTCCCGCCGGTGGTCGCTGTAATAAGTACCCTCCCGAATGTAGCTCCTGCTCCAGCGGGCCCAGGGCGTGCGCGAAGCTGATGTTGAAGATGAGGTCAGCCAGGCCGTTACCTGGGCGTGTGCCCTTGCGGCTCTCCGCGCAAAGCTCATCTCCCCGCGCTTGGAAGAATGTCGTGTCGTGTGCTTCTTCTAGCTGGAATCGCAGGTTCTCGTCTACGTCGTTGAGTGCTAAATAGCCTGGTGCCGCGATCAACTGCTGGATGGCTGGCATGAGCCATTCAGGTGGGGCGCCTCCTGCCATCTCCTTTAGGAGCCAAGGCTTCTCCCCCTCCCGTCCCAGCACGAACTCGCGAATGACAGAGTAGAAGGCCTGTCGGAGGTCCAACAGGATGCCGACTGCGCTGAGACGTCTCCGCCTGCAGATCCCGAAGAACGCTTTGATGGTGTGAGTGGAGTACACGCCTGACTTCTTCGGGATTCCGCCATGCTGGGTGACTCTCAGCAGGCTGCTGCAGACCCTCAACGTCGTTGAGCGGAGCCACTTGTGGTAGTGCTTGGCCGCGGTGTTGTTGAGGAGGATCGACCTGTAGTACTCCAGTAGGGCCCTCGTGCCGCTGCCCTTGTAAAGCTTCACTGCAATACCTGCCTTAAATTGGATCGGTTCGCGGCCTCGCAATATCGTCTTCAGGACGACAGGGTACCAGTGGCGGGCCGTCTCCTCGGGCGCGAGCTTGAGGATGTCGTCCAGATTGCCGTCGGTTCCTCCTGCTCGGCCCTTCTTGCCGTCCGCGAAGCTCTCCACCAGATCATTGAGTGTCATGTGCAGGTGCTGTGAAACCTCGTCGGGTGGTGATCTGTGGGTACGGCTGCCGTTGTAGCGGTCCGCGAGGTCGTATTTGTCCCTGATGTCTGCTGACTCGATCTTGGCGAAGTGCTGCAGCGTGGCGCGACTGATCTCGCACTGGCTGCCCATGACGGTGCCGTCGGGCTGCTGCATGGTGGGCAGCGCACTGACGTATTTTGGTTTGCGGCCGCCATGGATCAGAATCTTCTTAGTCAGCTGCCACTCGGTCCTGGCGTCTCTTGCTGTTCTGCTGTCCGCCAATTTGCTGCCGAGGTCGTGGAAATACTGGTTGCGGTCGATACTCAGCTGGTGCCTGAACGTGTCCCTGGTGTGGGCGATGAAAAGCCTCGCGGCGTCATGCGCGATACCGAGGCAGTCGGTGGTGCGGCTGAACTGGCAGGCGCCAGCAAGGGCTGCCACAGGGCAATACCAGCTATCTTCCACGCGGGCGTAGACCGACGCCTCGTAGCAGAGCCTCTTGCGGAAAACTTCTAGTGGTGCTGGATCCCCGTTGTTCGTGTAGGTCCGCGTGGAGCTCTCAGCGTATCTGCGCAGTCTCAATAGTCGCATGCTGGCCTCTGAGATTGTGGCGTTGCAAGGTGTAAGCGGGTCCCGTCCGAAATGCTGCTTCGTCTTCTCGGCAATGAGTCCCGCCGTCTCGTGGTAATGATCATTGGCGTCTGCCTTCCACGGTGGTAAGCTGATGTTGTTCAGGTCCTGCTTGAATGCGGTGATGCACTCTGGGTTCTTGAGTTTGTTAGTGTCCAGTAGCGCGTTTCCCTTCAAATTTCGGTGGCGTCCGATGATGTCGCCCACGACTTCAACCAGCACGGGCAGGTGGTCTGTGGTCGTGTCGTAGCCGTTCTGGGCGTAGTTGCTCCTCTGCTTGCTGTGCTCGTTCTTCTTTTTGGCGGTCGGCTTTTGAAAGTCCCTCAGGACAGTGCAGGCCGCGACGCACTTGAACAGGCAGGGAGCCATGGCGACGTAGTCGATGCGGTTGGAGACCCCATCCTTGTGGTATGTGTAGTCGTCGCTGTTCCCGTAGTATGTGTTGACGACGTGCAGGTGACAGCTGGCGACAGACTCGTGGAATTCGTGTCCATTCTTGTCTGTCAGCTGGTTTGGGCCCTTCTGGCCCAACCATTGTGTGTCCTCTCCGTCCTTGTGACTTAGCTTGGCGTTCGCGTCGATGAGCAGGATCTCTGGTTTCCACATGTCACACAGCTCTCTGAAGTGTTCCCACCAACCGTTGATGTCCTTGGCCTTCTGGTACGGGGCGTGAGCAACGGCGATGACGTGGTGGAACAAAGGGCCTCCTCCTCCTCCTCCTCCTCCTCCTCCCACTCCCCCTCCTCCTCCCCCTCCTCCTCCTCTTCCTCCTCCTCCTCCTCCTCCTCCTCCTTCTCCTCCTCCTCCTCCTCCTCCTCCTCCTCTCCGGGAAGAAGAATCTGCCATCTTCACCCCCGGAGTCAAAACTCGACCCCCGGAGGAGCAGCTAAGAAGAGCACCTCCGCTGCCCCGGCGCCGCGGCCGTACCCCGCGAGGCGCCCCAGGAGCTCGCCGGGGGTGCCCCGAAGTGCGCCTGCGACACGTGCTGCAACCAGAACCCGAAGCAGCGCCTCTCGGGTCGGGCGAAAGAGGGGGATAGCAAAGGGGGGGTTTGAGAATCAGCTCACGTAGCTGATTTTCCCGGCGCCTCCCGGCGCCGGGAGGCGACCATGTATCGAGGAATGGGCCCGGCGGCGGGGCCGAAACCAGCTGCATGCAGCAGATTTCGTAACTCCCCCTTTCCCTATCCCCCCCTTTCGTTCGGCCCGAGCCTCCCGAAGGATTGCAAAAAAAACCCGAAGGATTGCAAAAAAACCGAACGAAGGATTGCAAACAAACCCGAAGGATTGCAACAAAAACCCGAAGGATTTTTTGCAAACCCGAAGCAGCGCCTCCCGGCCGGCGCGGCCGCGCCCGCGGACGCGTCCGAACCGCCCGTCGGCGGCCCTGCGGCAGAGGAGGCGGAGCAGATGAACAGCAGCCTCTCCTGGAGAGGCGCAAGCCAGCAGAAGCACAAACGTTTGGAGCTCCCCGCGGGTCTCTTGGAGCGCGCCAGGGGCGGCGCGTCAAGCGCCGCTGGGGGGGGGGGGCCTGGTGCCGATCCAAGCAGTCCGCGCGGACCTCCGAAAGCTCATGCTCATGTTGTCGGTTTTGGTCTTCGAGCTCCCTGGCGGCGGTGACCACGCGCGCACGAAGGTGGCCGTCAGAGCCCATGGCCAGGAAGACGTGCGTGACGACGTGCGACGCCAGGTGCACGCGGGCCACCGCGAGCGCCCTCTCGGCCAGCGCTGGCGCGGTCAGCACGGCCAGCTCCTCCAGCAGCGCCACGCTCTCGGCCCGGTTCACGGCCTGGTCCCGGAGGCCAAGCAGGCGCAGCGTGTTGCAATCGTCCACGGTGGCCGCGAAGTTGCTCGGGGCGCACTCGAGGAGCCGGATGCGACCCGGCGCAGCGGCGGCAGAGATGGACAGGAAGTCGCGGACGCGGGCACGGAGGCCGTTCGAGTGGCGGATCAGCCGGCATTTCGAGTGGAACCAGCCAGGGTTTCGGGAGTATGCGAGCTCGTAGACCTGAGGCGCCCCGCATGCCAGGAGGACGTGGCCGTCCTCTGTATACCGCACCCGGTGGAACAGAGCGCCGTCGGTGCGGCAGCCTTAGGCGATCAGCCGAGCCGCCTTGATCCAGAGACCATCCCTGCCCCCATCAAGCCGACCTGATGGCCAGGCCTGAAGGGGACGTCATGGGGACCTGACTTCAAAAAAGTCGTCAGGCATCGGCCTAAAATTGGCCATGCGTTCCCGACAGACCGCCCACATCCCCTCGATAGCGAATCCGCAAAATCCTGGACGGGGTGGGCTGTCGGGCCCCTATCGGCGAGGAATGTGCGATTGGGAGTCGATGCCTCCCCCCCTGAGCCTCCCCCCCCTCACGTTGCCCCTGATGGCCCGGTCTGCCCCAGAGCGCGACCACTCCAAACCTGAGCGAGAACCCGAACCCGATCGAGATCGGCGGCTGATCGCAGAAGGAAGAAAAAACTGCATGAATAGAAACTTTTGGCGCTCCGCGCGGCTTTCTCGGACCTGCGCTAGAGCCCCCCTCCCTGGCGCGCGGAACGCGACTGGGGCGGCGCAGGAGGCGCCGCCAGGGGGTCCCAGCGCAGATCCAAGAAATCCGCGCAGAACGTCAATTTTTTTGGTCCCAACCATCCTGTGGTGTTGGGTCCTCGTTTTGAAGAGACGGTCCCCGCGTTCCTCCCTCCCTCCTTCCTCCTCCCTCCTCCCCCTCCTCCCTTTCCCTGCGTTTTACTCACCCAATAAAGCGTTTCGTGGCCCCATAGGAAAACTCCACCGAAGGCCCCAGTGCCACCGTCCGCATGCGCCCTGGAATATTTAAGTTGGCATTTTCACCCACCCACTACAACGTTTCGTGGCCCCATATGGAGCTCCACCGAAGGCCCCAGTGCCACAGTCCGCATGCGTCCCGAAACATCGATTTTGGCAATTTCACCCACCCACTACAACGTTTCGTGGCACCATAGGGAACTCCACCGAAGGCCCCAGTGCCACAGTCCGCATGCGTCCCGAAACATCCAATTTGGCATTTTCACCCACCCACTACAACGTTTCGTGGCCCCATAGGGAGCTCCACCGAGGGTCCCAGTGCCACCGTCCGCAGACGTCCCGAAACTTTTTTTGGTCTGCGGGTCGAGAGCGGGCCTCTTCCGGTTAAGAACTAGGCGGGGCGCGCACAGCACTAATTGGGGAGACAGGGCGCGGGTGGGCGGGGCCTCAGGCGGCCGGAGGGCGCGGGGTGCAGGCGAGGCGTCCCGAAACATCCAACGAGGCATTTTCGTCCACCCAGTACTACGTCGTGGCCCCATAGGGAGCTCCACCGAAGGCCCCAGTGCCACCGTCCGCATGCGCCGCGAAACATCAAATTTAGCTTCACCCACCCACTATGACGTTTCGTGGCACCATGGGAAGCTCCACCGAAGGGCCCAATGCCACCGTCCGCATGCGTCCCGAAACATCCAATTTGGATCTTGCACCCACTCAATACAACGTTTCGTGGCCCCATAGGGAGCTCCACCGAAGGCTCAAGTGCCACCGTCCGCATGCGTCCTGAAACATAGAATTTTACATTTTCGCCCACCCACTACAACGTTTCGTGGCCCCATAGGGAGCTCCACCGAAGTCCCCAGTGCCGCCGTCCGCATGCGTCCCGGAAAAATCAATTTGGCATTTTCATCCACCCAGTACAACGTTTCGTGGCCCCATAGGGAGCTCCACCGAAAGCTCCACTGCCACCGTCCGCAGGCGTCCCGAAACATCCAATTTGGTATTTTCGCCCACCCACTACAACGTTTCGTGGTCCCATATGGAGCTCCACCGAAGGCCCCAGTGCCACCGTCCGCATGCGCCCTGGAATATTTAAGTTGGCATTTTCACCCACACACTACAACGTTTCGTGGCCCCATAGGGAGCTCCACCGAAGGCACCAATGCCACAGTCCGCATGCGTCCCGAAACATCGAATTTGGCACTTTCAGCCACCCACTACAACGTTTCGTGGCCCCATAGGGAGCTCCACCGAAGGCCACAGTGCCACAGTCCGCACGCGCACCGAAACATTGAATTTGGCATTTTCACCCACCCACTACAACGTTTCGTGGCCCCATAGGGAGCTTCACCGAAGGCTCCAGCGCCACCGTCCGCACGCGTCCCGAAACATCCAAGTTTGCATTTACATCCACCCAGTACAACGTTTCGTGGCCCCATAGGGAGCTCCACCGAAGGCCACAGTGCCAAAATCCGCATGCGCCCCACATTGAATTTGGCCTTTTTCACCCACCCACTACAATGTTTCGTGGTACCATAGGGAGCTCCACCGGCGGCCCCACTGGTACCGCCCGCATGCGTTCCCCCCCCCATGCGTTCCCCCCACCCAATGCAGCGCTTCGTGGCCCCATGGGGAGCTTCACCGAAGAAGGTACTTACAATTGCGGTACCTAGAACTGCATATGGTTGGGCCCTTTGCCAGCATACGTAGTTTTTTGGCATGTTTTTGTCTTCCCTCTTCGAGATCGGTTGTCGATCCACGACCGAGCCTTAGGTCGGGCATGTCCTCCTACAAGCGGGTTCTGGAAGAAGAATGAAATATTCACTGCGTGGAGCTCCCCATCTGTGCATCTATTTGCATGCGCCTACCCGCCGTGAGTGTCTAGGCGCACAAGTGTTCGAATACAAGCGGGCTTGGGTATTCGCGGTTTGGGAACGAATCTACTTGTGAATGGGTTGGAGTGTGAATGAGTCTCAGTAGTGCGAATGCGTCTCTGCGCATGGGCCTGGGGCCTCCCGAAACCTCTTGGGGCTTCCTGTGGCCTCCTGGGGCCTCGTGTGGCCTCCTGGGTCCTCCTGGGTCCTCCTGGGGCCTCCTGGGGAGGACGCGTGACCCAGGAGAGGCCCAACACGTAGGAGCACATGTAAACATATAGGGTTGGAACCGCGGGGGAGGGGCAAGCTATAGGAACACCCGTAAAGCACAACGGAGTCGTGCCCCAGGGCAGGCCCAATCTACAGGAACATAAATAAACAAAACACATTTTTTTGTACACACCAGGCAGCTCGTGCAGCACGAGCCGATCCCGCCGCCAAAATGGCGCGAGCCGCGGAGCGCGGCTGGGAGGCACCGCGAACAGCGGCCTCCACAATCAGCGTGCACGCCACGCTGCGTGGGTGTGCGCCGTCAGGTGAGGCAGCCACGCGAGCCACCTTCCACCCCGTGCCAAGCCTGAAAAGGCCTAGACCACCGAAGGCACTCCCCAAATCACTCACTCAGGCGCCTGCCCGTCTTCGGGTCCAGGCCAGCCCTGATGTTGGCAATCTTCAGGTTGCGCAGGCGCAGCGCGTTGCCAGAGGCAGCCACACACAGCCTGCCGAGCGACCTGTGCTTGCCGTTGAGCTCCTTGGCATAGGCCTTGCAGCGAGTGCAGATCCTGAAGCCATTGATGCTGAGCAGCTCGTGGCCTGCCCCACCTGCTGCCTGAGTGCCAGATCCCTCGGGCGCGCCGTCCGACATGGAGACCTGGGCGACCTCGAGACCTGCGCTTGCCTGGCCGTCGGCGGGATCCGCCTCCGCCCTGCCCTCGGCCTCGCGCGCAGCGCGGGCAGCTGCCGCTGCGCGCAAGAGGGCAACGCCAGGCGAAGGATCCTGGCCGCTGCTGCTGCTGCTGGCGCCACCGCCTGCCGCCGCCGCCTCGGGGCGTTGCAAATCCTGCAAGCCCGCAGCAGGATGCTCGCGGGCGGCGTCGGCGGGCCTCGGCGCTGCCTGCTGGAGCTCGGCGTCGGGGTACGCCACGCGCTCGCCGACGTGAGCGCTCCTCGCCTCCTGCTCAAGCCTGTGCGCAGCCGCCAGCGCCACCGCCACAGCGCCTGCGGAAGCCAACGCCGACGCCGTAGGCTTGCGTCTCGTGCCACTAGCCACGGGCGCAAACGGCTTGGCCACACACGGGTCCTTGAGCAGCCTCTTGATGCTGAGGTCCGTGTACGCCGTCTTGAGGCAGGCCCTGCAATGTACTCCACCTCTCGCCACCTTGACGACGTTGTGCCTTGTGACGCTGAGCGGAGGCCCCTTGTGAATCGGCTTGCAGTTCGGGTCGATGTCCAGCTTCAGGTCAGCTGCCTCGCACCCCGCACGCGCAACCCAGCGCACAACACCGTCGAGGGTGAGCGAACGCCGCTGCCAGGCTTCACGTAGCTCAAGCGGTGCCCTCACTGCAGCTGCAACCGCCTTCGCCGTACGGTCGGCCTCCCAGTTGCCTCGCCTGTCGCGTGCAGTGATGTCTCCGTTGCGGACCATGGCCGACGTGGCGTGCGCCTTCACTTTCTGAATCGTGAGCCCTTGGGGCCCAATGCCACCGAAGTCGTCCAGAGCTGCCCAAACACGCCTCCATACGCATCCCCAGGCAGAGGTCGCCTTGGTGGTGTTGGCCTCGCCCCTATCCAGCAGGCCCTTGGTGACGTACGAGGCGTCGAAGGCCGCAGTGATAGGTGGCAGGCTGTGGCGAAGAAGCGCCAGGCACCCCAGGAGTTCGGCCCCGTCAATGGACTGCAATGGCCCGGGCAAAGGCGTGCCCAAAGCCTTGACGGCCGACTCGGGCCCTGGGTCCCAGTTGTCGCCCCCATCTGGCAGCTGCGCCATGCCGCAAGCCCCCGCCGCCAGCGAGGACCCAGCCTCGTAGACCGCTCCGTCCGAGTAGACCGTGGTAGCGGAAAACGGGAACCCGTCGCCACCCTTGACCCACTGCACGTGCGCAAGTAGGTCATCGCTTGGGGGACGCCAATCGTGGAGGGGCTCGGGCAAGATCAGCCTCTCCAGCAAGGTGGTAATGGTCACACTGGTGCTGAAGGGAACAAGCTTGCTGACCTCGGCAGGGAGCGTCAGGCTCGACCAGCTGTCCTGGCAGGCCGTGTGCCTGTGCCAGAGGGTGCCAGGCTGGCCAGGGTGCAACTGGCAACATGGCGTGCGGGCGATCCTTGGGGCACCGTGGTACCTCCTGCTGTTAGGCCACTGCCCGAGGACAAAGACCGAGCGCGCGTACCCCCGCTGGCTGCTGTTGAGGGGCTCCCAGTCCTTCGCCAGGCTAGAGCTCCCC